ATTTTGTGTTTCCGTTTTTGCATTTACTTTAAGCAAAACAAACTCACATACAGGTATTATCACAATCTGAAAAAATCGTCTTCACATCTACATAGTTAGTCTAACGGTTTCCCAATTTGCGGATTCCATCTCTGTAATGCATCGCCGGAATAACTGCTAATTCCTGTTACTAATAAGACAACTATTACTTCTTCGTTTAAAAAAAATCAATTCCTGTCCTAAAACATTTTTCAAGTTTGTGAGAAGAGCTAGGCCGGGAACGCTTAATCTGGTAAATGGATTGGTTGTGCCATCAATTTGTATTTTAATTCACTGATTTCACCTACGGTTATTTTAACTGTACGAAGAAAAATGATTTATTTGTTTTGTAAGCTGTCTTTCGTAAATTTTTGATTTTCAATGATTGCAGTAATAATCTGAATTTATTATTTTATCAACTTCAAGTGATCAACCAACAAAATTTATTATGCATTTCAAAAAATCGACGCTTGGTCAATCAATGATCATTCAAACTATTAATATATATTTTTGGTGTGCGGCAAGTTTTTAGATGTCTTTCTCATTGATCGTAATCTTGGTTGTACTTCAACTTTTAAACAAACTAATCGATGTACGAATTATTAATTTATATCAGCGTTATATGTTTTAAGATAATATAAATAAAATATAAAAAATTAGAAATGTCACATTCAATGTAAATAAAATGTAAAATGTACTCTAAATTTAAGATTTCAAAAATATTAAATAGAAAAAGAGGTTTCAATTTCAAATCCAAAATCGGGGGACCATAATCCCGTGGTTCACAATATCCATAATCAGTGGTCTTTGGCACCATCTATCAGTTTAATTGTCCTTATGTCATTTTTGGAATGCAAGTGTCAGGAACCGCAATCTGTCAAATTTGAACTGTGAACCTCTGTATTAACACACAAAGTCAATGTACACTTGATTTGCGATATTCAAATCTGAATATATATAAAGTATTAAAAATAAGAATAAACGCATAAACCACAGCTATACTATATACATTCATTTAAGTTCTTCTTTTTTTTACTTTACTATTATTTTCTGTAGAAAATGTACATCGAGATGGATTTCTTTAAAAAAAAAAATTTTGAGCTAAAGCTTTTCTTGCTATTGCTTTTTATTAAATTATATACTAATTTATTGCGAAGTGACTTTTTAGAAATTAATAAATAATTTTTAACTAAAAATGTTGAAGGATTTATTATTAAATTTTTTTTCCTTCTACCTTTAACTTTTAAAGTAACGCCTATGCAATTTGCATACAAAGTCTACAATTTAATAAAATATATTTCGAAATTAAATTAAAGTATTTTTAAAAGTAGAAAAAGAACTGATATGTTTACCTAGATTTCGTACTTATTATGGTGTAGTATAAATCTTTAAAACTGTTAGTTGATTAAAATATTTTCTGTTTTGATAAATAAATTTGAGTCTTCATGCTATATAAAAAGTAATAAAACAAATCTTGAATGCTTTTACAGAAAGATTAGATTTGTGTTAATTAATTTCTGTGTTAAATTGTATTATAAAAAACTATAATAATTATGTACTTATCTTTAGAAATGTGTATAAACGTCTAAAGTATTGTATGTTTATTAAATTTACTTAACATTTTATATCACTAAAGCTTTTATGATCGACTTATTGACAACAAATCAGTTATAACAAATTCCAATCTAATATTTAGTTACGAAAAAAGTAGCACTCCTTAATCAGAAACCAAACCAATTTAACACCCACTTGGATACAAGTGGGAGAATACTTTATTTTTCCAATGAAAATAATCTACAAATAAATAGAAAATAAATGACACAAATGTGCCACGAAAATGGAATAGAAGTCATTGATAGCGCCATTTCGCCTAAAGGCTGTGATAAAATATTGTGACGATGAAGACCGCGTTATTGCTTATGGAATCATTTGCACTACATAAGACTGACTTGGCCTTACACATAATCGAACAGAATATGTTGACAAATTACTTTAATCGGAACGAAAATCTTGGAAGAAACGGAAATCCTGGGAATAGGCGAGAGGCTAACAAACTCCATTGGCAACAGTTTTGATTGAAGCAACAAATGCGACACTTGTGAACCAACACAACCCCTGGAATACTGAAGGATTCTAATGAAGGATGATAAATAAATCTGTTAGGTTTTCTTTAAATGTGATTTACTTTCATCTGCTTTTATTTACGTAAATCAATGCAATACATAATCTGTCATTGAGGAGGATTGTTAGTTACATAAAGAAACTTAGTTTTTGTTATCCAAATTACAAGCTGCGAAGTAAATAATATTCTTCCAAAATAAATATAAACATTTGTTAAGCAAATTTTATTTAATCTAAACATATTTAGAAAAATGTTTAATTCTTAAAAATTAAATTTTCGACTTCTTAAATAGATTTTTTCAAAATAGTTTTTGTATTAACAAACACATTTCTTAGCACTTATTTGAGTCATTACAAATTCTAGCTTACGCATTCAGTATTGTCCCATACGCCAGGAGAAATACCAAAAATACATAGAAATACATATAAATTTATATAATATTTATTTATAATATAAATACTAATATAATAATAAAAAAATTATTACTTAACTATTTTTTCTTTCTTATCCCTTTCTCTCTTATTACCTCCCTTACGACTATATAAATCAGTGCAGTCCAGACCAGATACGATTGCAAAAATATATTATATTTGCTCATAAAAACAAAAAATATTTTAAAGGTTGTTATATATGAGAATTTATAAAGAATATTTTTTCTTTTCTAACTATCGTCTTAAAGCTTAGTGTATTAAAGCTACTGAAGAAACAAATAATGATTCAAAATTTTGTAATTCTTCATGAATTCTTCATAAATTGCCAGAACAACTACCAGTACTAATAGAAACTTGAAAACGAATTTATTAGTACTATTTTTAATAGACAATAAAAATCTCAAAGATAGGTTTAAAATATTAGAAAGGTTTTTATTTTAAAAGATAATTTTGTTTTTAATAAAGTTCATCACTAATTATATTTATAGATATTTTACACATTTTTGAATTTATATATTTTTATATATATTATTTATATATATAATTCCTTTATTGATATGTGTGGTGTTAAAAAAATTAGTTGTGTAAGTATTTATTCGGAAATTAAGATATTTTTAAAAATATCTAGACAACAATAGTTGATAAAGTAATTTTTTAAGTGCAAACATGTATAATATTTATTTACAGATTTTTTTTTAAATTTATATTAAAATAATTAAATGAACGACTAAATAATAACAAGCATCGTGATTATATATTCTTCTTTGGAAATTTAAATAAAAAGTGCAGTAATAAAGCGTAGAGTATAAACAAGAATTTATACTCTACTCCTCAAATAAGTATCATATACTTTTTGTTCCTATTATTTTAAATCAACTTCAATCTCTCTTATTTTGGGTGAAGAAATGGTTGTCAAAATAAAGAATCAAAATTAATTAACTAAAATGTGGACACGTAATTTTACCTTAAATCGGAGTGTATCTTCAACAATTTTACCAAATAACATTCCCATACCAAAAGCAGATAATATAACGTACTTAAGTATTCACCTAGACACGTTACTAACTTGGCCATAAAAAATATAAATGAAACTCCAAGCCTCTAAGTTGCATAGACACATTAATAACAGATCCTGCATATATCTAGAGTATAAAGTACTTTTGTATAATAGCATCATAAAATCAGTATGAACTTATGATATCCAGCTATTTGGTTCTGCTAGTACTACAAATATTTAAATTATATTAAAAACTAGTCAAAAATGCTGAGAAAAATCACTGGTTTTCCATGGTATATTTAGGATGAAAGCATCAACCGATATCTACAAATTCCCTTAATTAAAGCTGAATTTGTCAATATAAGAAAAAAATACAATAATAATGTAATAGAGTCACTTACCAAGGAATCTCGTACTTCTATCCACTAATTCACGTCAAAAAAGAGCTGACCGTTCAGCCATTAATTGAAATTCAATAGGTACAAGTAAAAAGCTCAATCTTTTCTTAGCGATATGATAAAGCTCAATTCACTTGAATTTATTTTAACCCATTAATTTAACTGAGGTCCTTCTTCTACAGTGTCCTGCTTTCGCAAGATATAGACTCTCCTACTTAAGGACACACTTTTTCAATTCACTAAGAGAGCTAGATTCTATTTCCATAGAATCTCGGATCAATGGCTTTGTGGCCAGTACCAGCTGGTTATAGGGACAGGTGTCAAATTCTTTAGTGTATCACTAAAGCTTATGGTCTAAGTGAGTCTTCGGACGGCTCCAGTAACCTAACCTAACCTAACCTGATGTCCATAATATAAGGTTTATATATATGTATGTGTGAGGTAAAAATTGTAATATTATGTAAATAATGATGATTTTTAAACTTATTATTAGTTTCATTGTAAGAGATGATGCAATAAATTAATATATACGTATTTAACAAAAAAAATTATTTATTACGTACATAGTGAAGTCTATGTATATCTATCTTAAATAAATTGTATTATGTACCTCATAACTCACAGCACTGATCTATTTATTCAAGGATTTAAAAGGTTTGTTTGGCAGACAAATAACATATTAAATAATATTCGCTGATATTTTAAAAATATTTTTATTATTCTTGTACCACAGCCTGATTTACATAAATGGCAATTTTGTTAATTGAAAACCTAAATAGACCTTTTATGCAAATAATATTCAATATTGACGACAAGTAACCCAAAAACCTTTTTACCAAAATAACCTAAAAGCAATGGGAAATACCGAGTGGTAGAAATCTTATATTTTTTCTCCTAAAATAAATAAATTTTCATAATATTTAGTAAGTTGAAGAATTTTTATATTATGAGTAGGTGTGTTACTATAAATTTAATTTGAAGAATATAGTGAGGTAACGTTTATATATACTCATAAATCCTCTTGCTGCAATTACTCTTCACTTTTTAACTGTTCTCGATGTATTTTTTATAATAAATTTCCAGTATAAAAATGAATGAAACTAGTAAATAACTGGTGAGTAAAAGAAAAAATAGTGGCGCGGTATATTCCAGACCTACGTCGATTACAAAATTAGTTGCAAAGCAGTTCAATCTGTGACGCATGAAATATCTACGCAACTTCAAGTAAACGCCAGTCTCCAACAAACGAATTTCTCTGCAAGAAAGAATATATTCATTTTTATATTCGAACTTATCTTATTCGTAAAAAATCCCACTTACGTTAATCTTATCAATTCTTTGTAGGTTGAGTTTTTATGTGTATGTGAATATAAATATTTCTCTGGTCTAAACAGAACTTCATTGGTGTCACAAATTTCATGTGGCTTAAAAAATTTTTCAACCAGCTCATAACCAGTAGCAGCTGTAAAAACATATACGAAACCCGGATTATCGCGCATTAATTTTACACCTTCTTCAACAGACAGCCAAAGTTTTGGATTATTCTTTTGAGGTTCAACTTTACGTGCCACAAAGCGCCGAACATCGGGCAGTTTTGAGGTCTTAAAAATACATTTAAAATTTATTAAATTAATAATACTAATACAACTACAATTGATATAAAGAAATTAGTTCTTTACACTTACATACAAATAAGAAGCAGTGTACGGTAAAGGTTCCATGGCAACTTCTAAATTACTATCAGCTAATTGTCCCATCGTTTTAATATGTGATTTAATCGGTGAACCCAGTAAAGTAGATACGATTATAGAAGTGTAATAATTGTACATAAAAAATGAAATTAGCGATAAAGAAAAAAATGCCATTCTTCCACCTGTTGAACGTGGTAGTAAGAAACTCCCTTGCGAACAAGCGGAACCAAATGAGATCAAACACGCAGTTAGCAAACAAGGTACATAATTTAAACATTTTTTTAAGCGATGATTTTCCAAGTAGAAAATAGCCCATAGAAATATACCACTTATGAACAAAATAATACCGAAGACACACCAAACAGTCATACTGAATGGTGCAAGAAACACATCGCCTTGTATGCCAGCATTACGAGGTGTACGAAACATGCAAATCATATGAAAGTCCGCTGCTTCAGTAATAGCAGTAAGGTTTTCGAAACGAGCCGCTGTCGGAAGAAATGGAGTTGAAGTCAATTCAACTCGTTCGGTACCAAGATCTCCAACTGAACCACCTACAGCATCAGTTTTACTCCAGCGATCGTGATAAGTAAGGTTCATCCTACAAAATGTATATAAATTTAAATAAATTAACATTTTATCACATTTTGTGTAATATATTATAATATATTAATATTAAGGATATATAGTTATACATACTTAAATTTCAACACATCTTGCAGAATCAACAGCCTGTGGTAACCAAATCGAGCTATAGAGTCCACATATGGTTTGTTTTCTGATATTAGGAATTTTTGTATTTCCTTTTCTGGAGCAGTTATGGGAAATTTATTAGCCTATCAAAAATATTTGTGAATAAATCAGTTTAATTTTTGACAGACTACACTACATAAAAATATTATAATGTCCCTGCGTCTTTAATTAAAATCAGTCTGAATTGTTAATAAAAAACAACTAATCTATCTTCTATTTTTACTTATGCAAGTTATACTTACAACAGCGGCTATACGCAATGTTACATCCTTCAATGTATTCCTATTACCATATTTTGATCGAAGGTGTAATTTTGAATAATATTGACCCAACTGACAATTCGTATTATTGCATATAATCTCATGATCCAGTGTTATATTCAACTTTCCACCCAAAGGTCGACCATTATTGTAAACATCATAAATTATATAAGATGTGTTCTGGATATTTGTTCTCTCCTTATTAGGAACGATAAATGTGACGTCAGCATTGGCAAAGAGATTCACTTCCTCAAATAGTTCTTTAAAGTAACTTAAATTACCATTGTTATCATAAAGAAGCCAATGAAGATGTTCAGTGAAGAGCAGTTGACGACTTGTCTATAGAATAATGAAAATTTATTATTCTACCATATATATTATTCACTAACCTTACTTCCTTCCCACTTCTTAGTTTCACTTACCATATTCAAAATGTATTCAGAGTTTTCGCAGTTCATATCCAGAAAAATACCCAATATTGGACGATTAAGTTGCAAAACACGAATGGTGAAATCATTTCTTAAATTTCTATTGTTTAAATTAATGTACTGAGTGTAAACATTATTATAAGTCGCTGTCTTCGAAAAGGCATGAAGCACTAATTGCAAAAAAATAATTCAATTGAATAAGTCTTAAAATATTTCAACGCTGTAAATATACCTAAGAAAAAAGAAAGACACATTAAGGTGTACGTTTTTAAGTTAAAAATTCTAGATACCGTTAAATCGTGTCACATTACAAATACTTTATAAATGACATATATCTTATAGGAGAAGGATAATTGCTAACACTTAGTTGTCGTAAATGCACTGGATCCAAAAATTAGGGAACACCCAGTATACATGAAATCTACAAACCTTTTTTATGAAAACAACTTAACGAAACTTCAGATGGGGACGACATACCAACGCACTCTTTTAAGTCGATCAACGATATAATGTTAAACAAATTAGAGCACTTATTTGTAAAAGTTCGAAATATGGAGAATATTTCTTTAGAATTAAATAAAGATGTCGAAGTAAAAATTCCAAAAAAAAAAGTACCAGTTGGAGAATAATATGATTGGACCAACAATTCACAAAAATATTTACTAAAATTATATTAATGGAATAGACAATATTTCTGAATAACCAAATCATACGATATAAGTCGTCCACAACAGTAATGTATCGATCATGTAAGTACGATTAGAGTATCGATTAAGATGTCAGTAAAACAGTAAGTGAGTATTTTTCTGACTCAGTTATCGTTAATTTGATAAGACCTTTTAATAACATATATGGTTTTTATTAAATAAAATTAAATCATAGAAATATATGATTTAATAACGTTCTTGATGGGAGAATTATTCCATAGAAAATATTTATTATTGTAAAAAGAATCTATAAAGATGGTTTATACCCAGCTTTGTATAATGGCATTTTAAGCGAACCATTGCCATCTACCAGCAGTGCAACACAGAGGTTGCACTGCTGGACCTCTGTGTTGCACTGCTATTATTCATTATAGCATTATGTACTGTGTTGAAATCACTGTTTAATCCAAGATATAAAGACAGAAGTGTTTATACAGAGATGTGTACAACAAGCATCTTACCATATAAGCTGTTTTATATCAAATTCTTTATATAGGCAGTTCAAGTGAACCATTTCCATTCACCAATGGTGATGCCTCAGAACTGGAAACGAATTAACGTTGATGACTAATGAAAACGCTTAGATGACAATGAGATACGGATAGGCACATGGAATGTCCGAACCCTCTATAGGAGAGAGGGGTCTCTATTCAACATGCAGAAGCTTTCAATTAATTTAAAGCTGACTTCACCGTCATTCAAGATATGCTATGAACAGAACAAGACTGCTCTAAAACTTTGAAAGGCATGCATTTGGTTTTGTGGTTAGCAAGAAACTACCAAAATCTGTCTAACGGTTCAGACCTGTGAACAAAAAGCTTGTTACAATTCGTATCGATGAATAATATTTCGGCATTAAAAAGAACGACTTGACCAAAGATACCTTCTACGCGAGACTCGCCCACGATGTTAAAATTGTTTTTGGGGATTTTAATGCAAAGGACGGAAGAGGAGAAAGTTTTGGTCCAATCGTCGGGAAATTCAGCCTCCATTAATCAACCTCCAACAATCGTCTGAGGCTAATTGATTTTGCTACAGCGCACAACATGTAGTATGTAGTACCAGATTCCCACACCGGAATCTTTATAAGGTAACGTGGCTATCTCCCGATCAATAAACACGAAACCAGATTATTCACTTCGTGATTGAAGCAAGGCACACTTTAAGTGTACTGGATATACGTTCATTCGACTCAAACCACTACCTTGGCTGCGACGCATGCGCCTTAGTACCGCCAACCAACGGTATTTAGATAGAGAGTGGTGTTTTACAGAAGTGTTTAGACACACCAGGTGTTTAGACAAACGGAGATGCTACGTCAATCTTCGATGATTTGATGTTGATATCTAACCATCAACAAGTAAACATACATACACATAACACTTGGTCGAAGGTAATTCGAAAAAATGTTCTAAAATGAATTGGCTGCCAACCAATATTATTAAAACCAAATCCATTCGGATACATGCATTCGATCCAGCATTCAGGATCCAACATTCGATTTCTGTGATAAATGTTACCCTTCAAAGTGTATATGTTTCCATACTCTAGTAACCATCGACATTAATTAATTATAGCCTATATCGATGTTAACAATTTTACTTACTTACTTACTGCTGCCCTTCTCTCCTAGTGGAGCATAGGACCTTACCTCTAAATACCTCTAAATCTTACTCTGTTGTCTGCTTCTCTCGTAACTTGATTCCAGGAGTACTGAGCGTGTGGCTAATCTACTTCCATTTTCTTCCTTTGATTTCAGTGGCAGTTTGTATTTGTTCGTGCGTTCCCAAAGATCATTTAGCAAAATATTTGATTTTGCCGATTTAAAATAAAATTTTAATACTTTAATTTTTGAACAAAAATTAAAATACAAGTGCTATTAACCTTTCTGATGTATAACTCGGGAAGAGTGATTTATTTTCATGTATAGATAATTACATGAAAGTACGAGTTGATACTAGTGCTGTTCACATTATTCGAAGTTTTTAAAAATTCGAAGTTCTTCGAATATTCGAATATTCGCATTTCAACGAAGTCTTCGAAGTTGGAAAAAACTTCGAAGTTTTTGTGAATTTTTGTTCTCGAAGTCTTCGAAGTTTAAATGTAGTGAAAAACTTCGAAGACTTCGTAAGCAAAAGGTGAAGTGAGAGCGCAAAATGCAAACAAACGTGCATCACACAAATTATTTGAGGGATGAAAGCGTTTGCTTTGTTTGTACGGTTTTATGTTTTTTTTTTTGGTATTCTATGCAGAAAATTAAAAACATGTTTTTTTGTTTTATTTTATTACATAAAATTTATTTTATTATTAAATATGTATTATAATATATATTATTATTAAATATGTTATTATTAAATATTATTTATATTAAATAAAAAATTTACATTTTAAATAACTTATATTTATTATTCATATTTGAGAAAATTTTTAATATAATATAAAATATATACGTAATAATATGCAAAAATTGATATTGATGGATTTTATTAGTAAAGGAAATTTTATAAAAGTTTTCATTTTTCTTTTAAAAAAAATCACATATTAAAACCTTGAAAATTAGTTATGAAAAAATGAGTTT